CCTCTCTTGGCAACTACTTCGCCCTGCTCGGTGCGAGAACGTTTACCCAAGGCCCCCTCGTGTTCCACACCACCACGATGGCCAGATTCGACCAGAGCCTTGGTCGACCCGGCAGAAGTGGTTTTAGAGGAGTGTTGGGCGAGAGGCAGTTTGTCCTGGGTTTTGGTCTTGGATGAAGTGTGGGGGTCGGAAGACTTATTAGCGGTGTGGTCTTGAGGGTTGTCTTTAGGATTGGAAGCCCGAGAACCGGTTTTCTGTGAGCGGTCGTCCGATCTCTGAGGGCGGTCAACGGTTTTTGGGCGATCACTGGATTTATGCTGTTGGTCGATAGGTTTCGAGGTGGTCGACGACTTGGAGGTCGACTGAGAGTTAGATTTGTCTTTGGGGGGTTGCTCTTGCGAGGTTTTGGAAGGTAGCTGCTGCGAGGTCTTGGGGGATGGCTGTTGTTTTTGTTGTTGTTGCTGTTGTTTTGGCTGTTGTTGTTGCTGGTGCTGTAGAGGCTGTTGTTGTTGCTGTTTTTGGTTGTGGTTGTTGAAGTTGCTGGGGCCCCGGTGGTGGGGGCGGGGGTAAAGGGGTCTCTCGTGGAGGCGACCGCGGTTGCAACTCTGGTCGAGACCCCGAGGAAGTGGTCGAACCCTCGGCCTGACCCCCGGTTGAACCAGAAGTACCCCCGCTCTTCTTTTTCAGAGGCACTTTCCTCAGAGGAATGTTGAAGCTGGGAGCCTCTGCACGAGCACATCAAACAGAATAGAACCAACATTAGCACTTACTTCAACAAGAATAACAAATACATGACAACATTCAAAATGAACTGATCGAGAACTACCTGGGTCATCCTCAAGGCGAACAAGATCGAGAATCTCCTCGGTAGGGGGAGAAAGGGTTTTGTGGGTAAGAAGACCACAGAAATGGAGAAGATTCTCGTCTTTGAGAAGTTTTTCACACGCAACGGTCTTGGAATTCCAAGTATGGATTCGTTGGTCGAAGAGGGGGTTTGCTGGAGGGGCCGAGGCTGCCTCTTTCGAAACATCCTTGACCCAAGGAATGGAAGGCCAAGGTAAAGGGACGTCAGGTCGAACGAAGATGAACTTATCACTCCACTTGGGAAGGTTGGAGGGGATGTCAATGATGAAGTGCGCACCATTGCGACTTTTCAAATAAAGACCCCGGCCCAGTTTAGAGGGGCAGTAACAATAATGGAAGAAGTCTAGGTCGAATCGACCTAGAAGGATGTGACAAAGGATGATGAAATTGGTGATGAAACGGATGGCGTTAGGAGGAAGTTGATGCAAGGGAAGCGAGAACCACTCGCAGATGCGGATTATATCACGGTTCAAAGGAAAACGTAACCCAAGCTTGAACTGGACCTAGAAGAAAGGGTAACAGTCTCGCGGAGGATGATCATACCGGTCAGAGGGGGAAGATCTAATGAACGCCCAACCAAGAGGTTGGCCGATTTTCTCGGCATCAAACCAGGGGTGAGAGAGAGAGGTAGAAGATGGTCGTTTGGAAGGTTTCTTGGTCGAGGACCGCTTGGGCGGAGAATTCAAAGAAGGAGGAACGGTCGAAGATGTGGGAAAAGTGGGCTGAGAAGAAATAGCTTCGTCTTCCTCTGGCTCATCCATTGAACCAAAGGCAGGTCGACGACGGCGGAGAGGGATATTATCCATAGTGTCGCCGGAGTTGGAAGAAGCAACACGAGCTACGAAGACGCGGGTAGGGACAGTATCGCCAGGGCGAAGGATGGAGAGAGGAACGGCTTCAAGTGCGGAAGGCAAGATCTCAACCGACCCAGAGGAGGTGGTCGAGATAGCAGGATCTGAAAACAAAAGAAGAGAGGAACAATATCAAAAAGAGGAATTTTGGCAAAAAAGGAGAAGGGTAGGAGGAGAAGGTTTTCAAAATTAGGGTTCCACGAAAGGGGCTATTTTGAAGAAAAGGAACAGGGATTCCGAGAGAATTTCAAAGGGGAAGGGCGAAATCTACAACGATCAACAGACAAGCACAAAAATTCAATGCACAGATTCAAAACACTCAATCAGCAAACTTCAGATACCCAATTCGAAAACGAAAAGTGAGGAAAAATTTCTCAAAACACAAAAGCCCAGATACAGGAAGTACAAAATCAGGAGAAAAACAACTTACTCATAATCACGAGGAGAGAATCGGGAAAACTTGAAGATTGCAGGAAGAATCGCCGACGGAAGCTAGGATTTTTTGCAGATAGAACTTTGAATGCAAAGGAATTTGGGAGAGATGAAGGTGGAAAAAGTCTGAAATTCTGCTAAGTACCGGTTTTATACTTTGGAGAGTTTAAGGGGTGAAAGAGGAGGACCGTCAGATTAAAGTTGGATCGTGCGGCGGAAAAATTAAATTACACGGTACTCCAAGTGGGCACGTTATGCGAGGGGGCGCCATCATTAAAGTGCCTGACACACGCGAACTGGCGTGACGCGTGGCAAAAAAGCAGGAGCGACAGGAAGGACTTGAAACAAACGACTTTATTACTGGCAATTAATGGGAAATTATTTGAAAACATGAGCGGGAAACCTATTGGCTGGTCGACATTGGATGACGAACCATCAAGGAGGTCTATAAATACCAATTCACTCTTAGATCGAGTCATCTAGACTCGACCAGAGTGGGGGGACTAGATGATATAGGATATTATATACTCAAGGATAAACCGGCCTACTTGGTCGGTCGAGGAGGCCAAACCGGAAGCAGGCCGAGCCAAAAAGGCGGGAGAGTTGATAATCGAGCAGCTCAAGGCTCGAAAAGACAAGCAATCGAGCAACCCAACGCTCGACCAGACAAGAAATCGAGAAGTCCAATGCTCGATCAGGTACATCGAGCAGTCTATAATTCGATCAGATAAGTGATCGAGCAAGCTAGTCGATCCCAGCAGGGTGATCACTTCGAGGAATTCACAATCGACCTAGTTATGGGCGCGTGTATCATAGGCGCACGTAGGAGCCTCTGACTGAAATCTCCAGAGAATATTTACCCCATGTGCTGGGGAAACACGTGTCGACAATGTATTGGGTGATGGTGATAACTACCTCTGACGACTCCCAACGTCCTGCGCCACCTCTGACATGTGTGCGACGTGTCAGAGTACGGACGGGCAGCTTGGGCAGCCAGCTCACCTCATCCGGGCATCTCTTAGGGCAGGTATCTCACCCCTATATAAAGGGGTGAGCCTTTCTTCCAAAACACATTCTATTCATTCTCTCAATTCCAGTATACTCATACACATACTGACTTAAGCATCGGAGGCTCTTCACCGGACACAACCCCCGGTGTGAGAGTTATTTGCAGGTTTCCGGCGTTCTACCGGCGAGGACCAAGATCTATCCGTTCAAACCGGACCAGGACGTTTACACTTGCATTACTGAGGAAACCACATAACACATCCTCTAGCAATGCAGCAAGGCAAGAAGGGTCTGGAGTGTTGCACCACTGAGTCGGGAATCTTTTCATCAACAACAACTTCATTCTAGGATTGGTGGTGGCAGCTATGCTCCCCGAGCTTCAAGGAGATTGATGAAGAGGGTTCAACTCTCGACTTATTTGCTATGGTGGTTATGAAAATCCTGCAACCTTTGGATATTCCAAAAATAGTGATTCCCTGAGCATTCTCTAGTGAGGCAAGCTATTAGGGAATAGCTTGAGTTCAGTGTTGTTTAATTGGTGTTGTTGTGTAATGGTCTTTTCAGGAGATGATTTAGGCCTTTTGACAATGTTTTGTCTCTTCTTTGGTCCTTTGCTTTTTCTTTGGTTTGGTTTGTTTGTTATATGTCTTCATCTATATAGCTATCTTTAGTTGTTTAGTTGTTGTGGTTTCTAGACCTCGCCTGCGAGGTCACCCGGGTCACGCGAGTTTAGTAGGTTTTGCCCGTGTTTGTATTTGGATTTTGTTTCTCTGTATATTGGCTTAAATGGCTATCATATCGTTCCCAAAAAAAAAAAAAAAAAAAAAAAAGTTAAGTTAATTAAACTCAAGAGTTTTCATCTTTTCTTTTTATAGTTCTTTCTTTCTTTCATGTTGCTCACATATAAACCCTACAGATTCTTTTTTTCACGTAAAAGCATTATTGTTTTTATGTAAAAAGTCCCATAAATACAAGTTTCTATATTTTATTTGCACATTTATTCCAAATTGTACTTACCAATATTAATTCCCTCGCCTAATTCATTCTTAGTACACTATGTTTGGTCATTTTCCGAACAAGGTCCATCATATAGGATTTCATCAAGAATGATCCACTAAGTTATCATTTTATTAAATACGCATAATAGCCAATATAGTATACTGAAAATGGAAACTAAATATGATCACTTTTAGTACACTATTAGTTATTATACGAATTTTGATTAAAGTAACAACTTAGTGAATTATTCTTGATGACGGTCTATATAATGAACCTTTTTCGAAAATTGACCTTGATGACGGTCTATATAATGAACATTTTTCGAAAATTGACCAACATAATGGACCATTTTTTTACATTTTACCTAATTCGCTCAGTTTGAACAAGTTAAAAGTTTTCTAAGTTTCTCGCTTCATTAACACTAAAACCCTCAAACTATACATATCTAGCATGGAACCTCCTGTTTTCTTAGTAGTTCCTATTTTATACCAGTTGCTCTCCAGGATCACTAAGAAGTAAGAAGTTAACATGATTTCGCATTCAAGTGCAAAGTGAAGAAGTTGCAAATTTTATATTAACTACGGTGAAATTGTGATAAAGTTTTGGGGCAACTCGCATCGTTTCGGGGCTTAGTGTAGCTTCACCTTAACATGGTTTCATCCTAAGTCAGCAAACCCCAAGCTGTAACACAAAAGAACTTACAAAGGCTAAGTGCTTAGCTAATTGCTAACTTACTGTTATTTACAACAGATGTTCTCCTAGAAGAAAGCTGCACGCACAGGCATATATTTGTGGGATTTTTACTTCCATTGTGATAAATACAAGTATACATGGATGCATCATGGTTCAGTCTCCAAGATGACACAGTGGTTGTCGCATGCTAAGCTCGGCTTTCAGGTCCGGGTAAATCTCCAGGTCATGGGACCTTTCCAGAACTTTCTGCAACCAAAACACGAGGAGGAAATCAAGTCGTCGTGATAATTTTCCTTTTCTAAATTTAAAAAATCACTTTTCTATGTATTTGCCAAGTAAAAACGGCCTAGCATGCATTGGAGCCAAAAGTGATCACCATTCACCAGATCTCAATAAGACAAATGCAAGATCGATCACACGGTTCACATCAAGCATAGGATATTTCAAAAATAAATAAATAATAAAAAAAAAAACAGTGGTGAAAAAATGAAATAGCATTAAGTTAGACTCACCAGGGCAGCAAGATGAGCATCCTGTAGAATATTCCCATCGACCTCAAGCCTCGCCACAGGGAACTCGGGCAGGTGGCCCGACTGCTTTTTCCCAAGCAGATCCCCAGGGCCGCGCAGAAGAAGATCCATGTTGGCCAAGTGGAACCCATCACATGACTTCTCCAGCACCCTCAGCCTCTTCAGCCCGGATTCGGAGGAACCCAGCAGCACGCACCTCGACTTTCTCTCTCCTCGACCCACCCTTCCCCGCAGCTGGTGCAGCTGGGCCATTCCAAACCGCTCGGCATTCATCACCACCATCATCGACGCGTCTGGCACGTCCACCCCTATCTCGATCACCTGTGTCGACAGCAGGATGTGTGTCTTCCCGGACCTGAACTGCCTGAGGGCCTCATCCTTCTCCTCGGATTTCATGCGCCCATGAAGAAGCCCGCATTTGTGGTCCGGGAATTTTTGGGAAATGGTGTCCAGATCTGCTGAGGCTGCCCTCAGCTGCGGTAGCTGTTCCGACTGCTCGATCACGGGGTACACAATGTATACTTTACCCCCATCTTGTAACTCTTCAAGCATCATCTGGAAACAGTTTTAAGCACCACATGTTATATTTTCTTTAAACAGACATTTAAAGTGAATCCAAAAGCTTGTTTCCGTCAGATGAACCTGGTTCGATTTTTGCAGTTATTTTTCCCATCAGTTTCTAGGTTTATTAAATATTAGTCCATTTAGCTTACAATTAGATCATTTTTGGTTCCGCTTTTTTAAATGGTAGTCATACTAATCAATTTTTCAAGGTATTTTTTTAGCTACTCTAGCCTTTTATATTTCCAATATTAAAATATTCACTGAGTTGTCTCACATCGTTTATATAGGAAAAAATGACATAATTATAAGTCTAATGGACTGCTCCTCGTACCACCAATTGGTTTTGGGATGAAACCTCACTTAGGCTTTATCTGGGCTTTCCTTGTCTTTGTGCGCTTCATTTACGTGGAGCCGCACCTATTTTCTCCCCGTTTCTTACATGGTATCAGAGTCGGTTCTATGTGGGACCGTGCGATGACTTAGCTGTTTACCCATATCTAGTAGGGCTTGGGCACCCGGCTCCGTATTTGGGCTTGGATCCATTTTTCCCCAGTTTCTTACATGGTATCAGAGTCGATTCTATGTGGGACCGTGCAATGACGGACCCGTTCACCCAGCCTGTTTCTAGTAGGGCTTGGGCACCAGGCTCTGTAATTGAGCTATCTTATTAAGGACTCACAAGTGAGGGAGCGTATTAGAATATTCGCTTGTTAGTTGTCCCATTGGTTTTGGGATGAAACCTCACTTGGGCTTTATTATTTTCATTGTGCGCTTCATCTGCGTGGGGCATCAACCATTCTCCCCCCAGTTTCTTACATCCAAATTTATCTAAGGGATCTGTTTCTCCGGGCCTCTACAAATAATAATGGTAAGTTTTGCCTAAATGTGTTACATGTCAAGTATATTAAGGTATATCACTGGCCCATATAGCTCATGAAGGTCTCTCTATAAAGGGGGTGAGCAAAACCGAGCCGAAACCAAAAAATCACACCGAACTGAGCTATTCGGTGCGGTTTTTTGTAAATTCGGTTATCGGTGCGGTTTGGGTTTAGAAAAACCGCAAGTATTTTGGTGCGGTTCGGTTTTTTGTCCGAAAAGTGCGGTTTTAACCGAACCGCACCGAATGTCATAAAATATCACTTTTTTTTATTTTTTTTATTAATAAAATATCACCTTAATTTTTACAATTTTACTTACATAACATTAATTGGTGGTTATCTTTTTAAATTTCGGTTAACCGAAAACCCGAACCGAACCGCACCGAACTGAAATTTTCAGTTCGGTGCGGTTCGGTGAAAAAAAATTTAAAAATTCGGTTTTCGGTTGTTTTCGGTGCGGTGCGGTTTTTGACCGAACTGCACCGATACTCACCCTAGTATTACATATCAAAGGAACCTCATTCACTTAAAATCCAAGGTTTGTAACATGGTATCAAAGCCACACAAATAAGGTAAAATTCCGATCTGATCTTCCACAACAGATAGAACTTCCCGATCAATTTTTGTCGTCACTATCCGCATGTGGGTCCCACGCACCGCCGCAAGTTGCTCTTGCGTGACTCGCAGGAATATTTTCCGGTGAATTTCCCTCGGCTCAGAATCTCCTGAGCTTCGCGTCCTACCAGTGGTCTCGGTTTTCAGTTTTGAAGGTCTTCAGTGTTCGTTTTGGCCTTTTCAGTTCAGGCATTAGTCGGGCTTAGGGTTCGTGTAGTCTAATCCATCTCGACACATGTCATTTCATGTTTTCTGTCATCACTCATCTCTCGTGTGGTCCTACATTCCCGTCACAACAACTTCATTTTTTTATCGATGCTGACGTTACTTGCTTACGTATATCACATGATGATATAACCTTTTCGAGGACCCTCCTTTCTTTTATAACTCTTATTCAAAATCAACATCATCATCTTCTATTGAGTTTTTACATTACAGATATGGATTTTATCGATCAATAATAATAATACCATCAATTTTTTTTATTTCTTTACAAACTCCTAGTTTTCTAAATTCTTTAACTCAATTAATCCAATTTTCAAATTGGATTAATTGAGTTAAATAATTTGACTTTAGAATTCAAATAGATTAAATTAAAAAATCAAGATTAAATGAAAAAAGTTCTTCAAAAAATTCTTCAAAAAGTTCGAAGGTTTCCTTTTTCAATCGGATACATATATACCCTTAACATACTGAAACGACTGTCATTATTCGTATCAAACCAATAACGATTCATACAAGCTAAATCTTCTAATCGATAATTAGGCCAAAGAAAAAGCTTTAATTTCAATAATTGATTTTTCTCTCTATCAAGATGCTTATTGTCAGGGGAAACTTGGGTGCTGCTTTTTTTCTTCTTTTCGTTCCAAAATACTCGATTTCTAGTCTTTGGTTCGGGTTTGAAACAAATTAGAATTCTCAATTTTCTACGACGTCTAAACGATAAAATATTTTCAGGAACATGAAAATCAAAACGACTTTTATCTCTATTTTTGAGTTGTCTCGCGCCCCTAAGTATTCTCTACCTGCCCACCTGTGTCGGTTTCGGGTACATGTACCCTGGGAGTATGGCGTGACTTACTGGCGCCTGGTGCTCGAACATTGACTCGAGGCATTTTCTCTACTCTTCTTACCCTGTAATCATCCTACTTCCTTTACCATCTCCTTTAGTCTCAACTAGTCATAACCACATTTCGAAACCAGCTCGGCCCGTTCACCGTAGTTCTTGAATCGGCTCAGCTTTTAGTTCGTTTTCGATTATGGTTCAAATTATTAAGAAAATTAAATCGATGGTTCCGATTCCGGTTCAAAACCAAAGGTTCGGCGTCGAAATTCTAATTTAAATTTTGATTTTTAAATTTTATTAATTTTTTTTTTCAATTTCCCGGTTGAGACCGAGCCAATTTTGAATCGAGACTGCTGATTTAATGAACCGGCCCGGTGCTAATCCCGGGCTGGTTTCGGTTCAACAAAAAACGGAACAATGAACCAACGATTCAGGCGGAAAACTAGCCCGACTGGCTTTTGTCCATGTCTAGTCCCAACCACTCATGAGCCTGCACCACCTATTTCTAACATGCCTCCACCACATAAACAGCCTATCACATAAGGGCTCATTTGTTTGGTATGATATGATAAGATTTTTTTTTTTACTTGGGGTGACATGATTGCACTGCGGAGATCGCAATCGCAATGGATTTGTTGGTAATGACTATCCTAAGATAGAATTTCCATAAAATTTAGTTCACGTGTTTATGACAAGACTCCTGAATTGACAAATTTAGCCCTTAATCTTGTCCCTAAATTTTCTTGAATTTACATTCATTCATATTTAGTTCTTGAACTTCTATGCACTCCAATGATAACAAAGCCATATTGAAGATGTTACTAACTTTAAATTAATCAGAATTAAGAAAAATGCCCAAAATCTTGCACGAAACCAAACCCTGATATCAACAAGAAAGAAGACAAAACAATCTACCAATAAACCCCTCACTTTTCCTGCGCTTCAACAAGATCTCATTATGAAAATAACTTGCGATCTTGCTCTAAATTTGCTCTCACTTTTCCTTCTCTTTTTTTGTTTTAAAAGATAAAACAAGATGATTGAAATGAAAATTGGATAAACCACAAAACATAAACAAAATTAACTTACTCCAAGAACCAAACTCATCCAAAGTTAACAACTGTTGCAAATCTCGAGATTTGTTGTCGCGTACCCAAATTACAAAGTATGATTATAGACTTAAAAACAAACTAAACCATCGTTCGAACGAAATGAGCTCCACCAATTTGTTCAATCTTGAGCAAAAATGGGGAGGGAGAACTGATGGGGAGTTGAGCAGAGATTGGATGCTTCCAACTTCCAAGAAGATTCCATCGCTCTCACCCTTCTCTCCCTTGAAACAATGACGTTCTATGCTCGTTGGCCGACCTCGGGCCGATAAGTTTGGCAAGCCAAAATCATGGTTAACAAACGGGAGATTAAGCTAGATTAGTGGCCTAATCTTATCCAATCTTGGCTAACAATCGTGTCCTAAGTCTATTCTCGTCATTCCAAAGGTCCCATAACACTTTTGCCTCACTCTACTGCCTCGGCAAGTCCTGATGCTCTTGTCCTTAATGATTTTCAAGATGAGTTTTCCACTTGTGCTATTATTGATGAGCCATAAAAAAGGGTATTCTAGGTGGGAGCTTGCTGCCCTTGCTCAAAATGGCACCTCGGACCTTCTTTTGTTACCATCACATACCATACCTATCACTTATCACTTGTAAGTGGACTTTTATGATTAAGACCAAGTCGGGTGGTTCCATTGAGGGTATAAAGCTCGTCTTCTTGCTAGATGCTCTTAGCATACTCAAGGATGAGATTGTGATGAGATTTTTGCTCTTTTTAGTATGAACACTCTCTGTACTCTTATTGCAGTGGTTGTTATTCGTTCTTGAACCATATCTCAAATAGGTGTGAAGATTTTTTTCCTTCATGGTGTGGTGTGGTGCTCTGCACGAGGAAGTTTTCCTTTGTATGCGAAAGTTTATATGAAGACAATGGTGGGTGTTGATGCCTTCTTCGGACATGTTTGTCGTCTTCGTCGCGTTTAATATATGGTTTCAAACAGGTGCTTGGTTTGAGCTTTGTGTCTCTGTAATACAGGGGCTACTAGTTTTTTGCTAGTTTTTTCCTATCGTATGATCCTGCTTTGTTTATTCACATCTCTCCGCGTGTACTTACTCTACTTGTAAATTGATGAAAATTGAAATGTTGATTACGGGAGATTATGCAGACCATATTTCTCATGTCAAGAAGCATGTCTACTTTGGGTCCTCTTAGCTACTTTTTAGGCATCAAGGTGATGCACTCTGACTCGGGCTATTACCTTTCCTAGACCAAATACATGCAAATACATACTACAAGATCTTTTTGTTCGTTATGTTGTTGTTTGTTATGGTATTACTTATAATCGAATAGCGGCTACTCCTATGGATCTTCACTTGCGGCTTTGTCCAATTAATGGTACGCCTCTTGAGGACCCCTCTTGCTATTGGCATATTGTGGGCAATCCAGATTATTTTATAGTTACCAGTGAGCATATAGTTACCAGCCCTGCTCACGTTAATCAGTATGTGCTCCTACTTCGGTTCATTTTAGGCATTTGTTTCGTGCGCTACGGTATTTGAGGAACATTGTGTTTGTTGATTTATGCTCTTGATACTCCACTTCAGCTTCATTCTTGCTCGGACTCTTCTTGGGCGTGTAATCTAATCGTCACTTCGTTATTGGTTATTGCATTTTTCTTAGTTTTTCCCCGCTTACATTAAAGTCCAAGAAACAAGCAAATGTATCTCAGTCTAGCACAGAGGAAGAACTTTGAGCACTTGCTACTACCACTTCAAATTTATATGGTTTCTATGGTTGTTAGTTGATTTCAGTATTCCAGGTGATGCTCGCACACCTCTTTGTGATAATGATAATACTGAAGCCATACAAATTATCAATCATCTTGTGAAGCATTAACATATAAAACACATTGGTGTTGATGTTTCCTTTACCCAGTATCATTGTCAACAAAAAGTGTTCTTCAATATGTGTCGTCAGAATTGCAAGTGGCAAATTTCTTTGCCAAAGCACAAACTAGAGAACATGGGAATTACTTGCTCAAACTCAATTCTTCTGATGCACCACCTCCACTTGAGTTTGAACAAGGTGTTATAGCTAACAAAGATCTCTATATATGTGGCCAATTAAAGGAACCTCATTCACTCAAAACCCTAGGTTTATAGCATTACAAAACCCACTATACCCAAAAAATATGTTTTTACTTGGGGGTGCAATTTGCAAAAGATAAACAAATGTCGTGATGTTATTTGTTATTTGTAAATGTGAATGAGAAACATTTTTAGGCTACGTTTGTGTTGAGGGATATTAAATCCCTTAGATTTCGAATTTCTTGAAATACAAAATTTCTACTTTCAAACTCCTTGAATGGATTTGTAGAAAATATTATAAATCCATTGTTTAGCTTGCATCAATGGTGTTGATTCGTTGTGGTGATGAATCTAAATGAAGAGTCACACCCGCGGACGGTGTGGTTGTCGGTGGGATAAATAATAGATTTCAAATAACTATGTTATGTTTGAGGAGTCATTTAAAATTCATCAAAATAATGACTAAAATCATATCTAGATTAAATTTGAAATCCTCCAACTATTATTGAAAGTTTGAAATCTATAGATTTCAAATCCCTCTATAAATCCCTCGATCCAAACGTATCCTTATTTTAGTTGGTCTAGTTTTAACAACTATAGTTTATACTGCTGTAGCTTTTGTAATATTACAAACCATACCTCACTTTGTGAACATAAAGAATGGAACTGTTATTGCATTGAAATGTTTACCTGGTAAGCCACCTTGAATCCTGCTTCATTTCCTTCTATTACGTATGTCTTCACAGGTGTTCTTCCAGGCGGCACATCAGTAATCTGTCATTAAAATTTTGAAGGCCCACTTAAAAAGTAGATCATGAGGAAATTATTTGAGGTGCTGAAAGCAAATGTACGATGATCATCAGAATCAAGAAAGAATATAAACATCATGTGTGATTAGTTCATTTGCCCAGGCCGAAAGAAAGAATATCCAGAACAATTGGATTATGAGACAAAAATGTGAGGATGAAAACTGATGGGATATAAAGATATAAAAATAATAAAAGGATATGGGTTGTGTTAGTAGAAATACGAGCTGAGTGGCGAAAACACACTGTATCCAATCACAACAAACTTTCAATTTGTAGGAGCCATATAAAAACCTGAGTAAGGGACATGTCGCCATACAATGCCAGGGCAAGTGACCTTGGGATCGGTGTGGCTGACATGGCAAGGACATGTGGAGCCATAACAACATCAGTCTTATGAGGACCATTTGAGCTAGTCGGCGTAAAAAGGGAAGTAATGCCATTAAAATATAGCTGCAAGATTATGATAATTTAAAATAACAGAAAATTAGTACAATTGTGTTGAACCAGAGCACCCAAGACAAAAGCAGCAACATATATTATTTTAAGTAAATGCATGATTGCAAAAAATACTGTGAAAAAGGGGGAAAAATAAAGAAAGAGCCAAATAAAAAGAACACCAAAGTCGAAACATTAAACATAATGGCTAAATTCATCAATTATTGTACAATTACACTCTTCAAAATTTTTAGATTTTACAAATAGCCCCAACTTTCTGGCTACTTTTCACTTTTCAAAAAAACTGAGGGATGCAATATAATATATAGGACAAGAAGTTGGGGCCATTTGTAATATCTAAAACAGTAGATGTCCTTGCATGCAACTATGAAATACTTGGTTTCAGTAGTTCCCTTTAGTCCAGAAACAGCAGGTGCGGAATGTAAAGACGGATTGTGGGGTTAATTTTTAATTTTTAAAATGAAATACTTACTGTTTCTCGTTTCTCCTCTAATTAGGCTTAACTTCAAGAGCAGTTTTTTTGTAAATAATCCTAATCGAATGTGAAGAAGGGCCATGTCTTTACAATTTCCAGCAGCAACCTAATATGCGATGCTATACAAGTTAGTGGAAACTAGGTACCTTGCTGTTAAAGCGACCTCTTTGAACAACACCAAAACGGTGCTGCTCGTCTACAATTGCAATCCTTAAAGCTGAAAATTCCACCTTTTCAGCTATTAAAGAGTGAGTTCCAATGACCACAGAGATATCTCCAGCTTGCAGACCCTTATTCATACAATCACCAAAAAGATGAAATTAGTAAGTTTAATTTCAGAAAATGAATAGTTAAGGAGTAAGGACAAATTGTGCATTAACTAAATACCCTGCGAATGGTTTGTGCTTGTTTTGTCGGGGTTGAGCCTGTTAACAGGGCAACAGAAGGTTTTTGACTGGCTTCATCGATTTTCTCGAGCAAGCCAAGAAGGTTCTCATAATGCTGGATAGCTAATAGTTCAGTTGGAACCATAAAAGCTGCCTGCATGTAAAATGATAATATTATCAATTTATGTACTGTCAATGGGCTAAATTAGAACTGAAATATGAAGCAGAAGTAATAATTAATCACCTGGTATCCTGAGCCGACGACCTCCATGCATGCTAGAAATGCCACCACAGTCTTCCCACATCCAACATCACCCTATTTACAGCCGAAAGATATTGATTATATTAATACTAATAATAAAATAACAAAAAATGAAAGAGAAAAATAAATCGAGTATGACAGCTGTCAATGTTCATGTAAACTGGGTACATGATTTTGAAAATTATGAAGTGGTTTTTCCATAAAAAATGAATAAAACGATAAACCCAGAACCTGTAATAGTCTATTCATTGGAACTGGTCGTTTTAAATCCCAAATGATTTCTGAAGTTGCACTTAGCTGACTGGCCGTAAGTTTATACGGAAGAACCTTCATGAAGTTTTTAGTGATACAGGACCACTCTTCCATGAATGTTGCATTTAGCTGGGGTTTTGTGTATCTCTCAATCAACCCATCTTTCTCTACCTTTGTACCAAGACCCTCAAGCATTTGATACAACTTTCCCAACTGAAAAGAAAATATTTCAAGTAGGACATTACAGTAGACAATGAACGAACATACAAGGCAGGAAAAAAAAGGCAAAATTTTGCTAAATCAAAATATTTAGTTCGACTCAAGAATACAGATATCTCGTACATATTTTAAATTCAAAAATATAGAGGAAGGACAAAGATAGAAAATCCTTAAAAGAATTTGGTATAAAAAGAGTTAACAGACAACAAAAACATGCCTTTATACCTGAAGATAGAAGAACTCATCAAAGATAAGCCTTCGTCGAGCTAAATCGGCAATGCCCAAATCAGTGGGCTGGTGGATTCCAGCATATGCCTGTGTTGTTCACAGGGAAAGAAAATTTAATTTCTAGCAGAAATGCTGGAGCTAGTAAGCCTAATGCTTAGGGGGGTCAACCCGACATAATTTTTTAACAAAAATGTATACTTGCACTTTGAAACACCAACTTTTTCCAAACTAGTTAAACAGTTGTTTTATGTTGTTACTGAAAAGTATGAAATCTTATGGAATAAGTGGGCATATTTGTTGATAAAGTATGTCTGGCCAACAAATAGGCTACTTGACACCAGACCTACTGAAAGTTCTAACATTATATAAACTGATGGTTTTAACATATAAGTAGTGTTTCTAAATAAGATGTAAGTTCCAGTTTCCTCAACAAGGACATGTACTATTAAAAAAAAAAAAAAAAAATTAAAAGCTCTGAACAACCAGTCAACATACATTTCTGAGTGAGAGAAGTTGAAAATCCTGAATGACATCCTTAGGTAGAGGATCAAGATCAACTGGCAATGTCTTTAAAGCTCTGAAAAATATACACAGTCACTGCATTAGAGAAGGAATACATATTTCAGATAGACGAGAGTGAACCTTGTGAAACAACACAGGAGAACGCTACAATATGAATCTAGTCCACATGCAGATTTGGTGTGAGGGCAAATTATACGAATCAGTAAGATGCTTGTTCAATAAATAAGATCCATTCTCTTTCCAATCAACTGCATTAACAATTTCGAAAGATTCATTTTTCAAGCTTTATTAATTTATCATCTAGGAATAAATAAGAAGCAGAAAGTTACTAACAAAAGAAACAATGGTTAGACATTTATTGGGTAAAATCATGAAAGGATAGCTGAAATTGAGAAAATTAACCCGCACAGAATTATATCCCCACGGATATAATATATCAGTGAGGACTTAACCACACAGAATTAGTTAATAATGCGACATGAGGTTCAGAATTTGAAACCTTGAGATAATATCCCTCAGAAACTCAGGGTTGAGACCTTTTTTCGAAGGATAAATAGGATAAGGCCTCCCAGTTGCAAAAACACATGAATCATCTTTGTCTGTAACCACATCAATGTTGTACTCCCTCATCTCAAAGTGGTCGGCATTACGCATCGCGCGCACCTTAAAAAATCAGTAATATAAGTTATTCACAGGAAGTGATTTCAAATGTAAAAATAATGAACTACGAACAGGAAATACTCCACCTTGCCACTGACGCACACGATATCTCCCTCCTTGTACTTTTCCTGGATACTTCTGAGAAATGGCATGCATGTGAAGCGGGTACCACGAAAAAATTTCTTCAAATGCAATTGTACTGTTCTTATACTTCTATTTTCAACTTGATCAGCTGATGACTCAGAATTTGGCCCATTATCCGCAACCTCACACGACACAATCACCTCCAGAAATGAGAATGAACTACTAGCCCGGATTCCCCTAGGTGAAAAAAAAGATGACTATGAGAGAGATTCATTTACGTTGACGGCAATCACAACATGAGATGCTGCTTTTGATATGCCAGTCTTCAAAGATGAAAGTTACACAACGTAATTGGCAATTCATCAGGTTAAGAAAATGAAATCTTCATCCTAACTATGAGAATAATTAAATTATCGCCTATATCACGACAATTGAAAAGGAAAAGTAGACTAACAAATGAATAACAAAAGGTTGATTAAAAGACATCCAGTACAATAAACAGCTCTACCTTGAAGATTTTATTTTTCCAACAAAAATCAAGTACTGTCCATCATCAATTTCCACCTCAGCATTTTGTAAATCAGCATATGTCCGAGGAAAATGGTGTAGCAACTTCCGCAACTAGGAGTAGAAAAGCAGTTTCATCAGCTCCAAAACATCCAAAGCAAAAGGAAATGTTCTTCAATAACTCTGGATAAATTACAAAAACTAGTCCTAAGGTTCAGTCTATTTACAAGATACAAAATAGGGTTTCTGTATCACAAGTCTTGGGAGAGTATTTGTAATCTTGATGGTTTCTTTTTTTTTTTTTTTTCCCACTAGGCTAAACCTTTTGTTAATATCCATTATATCTTAAGATAGCATACCGTGTGAAAGCCACAGTTCTCCAGTTGACTGAGCTGGCGTTTGGTCAGCCCGGGCAAGCAGTTGATAGATTTATCAAGAATTTCTGCAACTGAAGATACAGCTTGTTGGATCTCAAGCACAGCATTATCTGCAGTCGACTGTGAAGTATTTGTTGTTTCTGTGCTTTCAACAGACAACCGAGAATAGGTAGTGGGCTTTTCAACCTTTTCTTCCGGAATATATGATGCGTTCCTATATGATGCGTTCATATTAGATATTTCTGCATACAAAGAATGCAGATCTTTGTACATACATTCTTGGTCCAAACAATTTGCATCGCATTCTTCAAGAATTTGAGGTGGCATTGGATCTGTAGTTTGAGAATAGTATGCGGGCCCATCATACAATTCCACGGTCGGAAAGCAACCTAAAGTAATGGAAGGGAACTTTTTGCATACCGAGGTGGCATCAAAATCACTATTAACGAGCTTAAGATTCTCACAGAACTTTTCTCTAAATCTATCATTGACAATTAAGTCATCAAGGCCATTGTAACCGATCAAAGATGGCTTCTGCAAGGCAATTATAAAGATCATATCAAAATTCCCTCATGGTAAGATAAAATGAAACTTCCAGGATTCTGAAGGTAGCGGTAATTTTAAAACAGATATATATCACTTTCTCAGTGTACAGCAAGAACAATACCAAAAAGCATCCAAAAGAGTATGGAAGAACGAGTGCATTTACTAAAGAATTCATTCAAAAAAGTGGTTGCACCAGGATAATTAAAAAGCATTTATACATCAAAGACATATTGACTTAATAAAAGCTCAAGGTATGAATTATAAAACCACGTTAACCATCACTGTAAATGTCACTTACCTTTTCACAGCTATCTACACCCTTCAACAACTTCTCAGTGAGCTTGTGCTTAGATCGAAAGCATGAAAATAAAATATTTGGTGGAATAAAATTTACAAACCTGCATAGAATTATAATTATAAATCTTTTTAAATAGAGTAATGTAAGATCATGAAAAGAATAAGTGGATAAACAGCCAAAACGTACCTAAAGTTTCTGCTTAAGAAGTTCCTGTATGCTCTCTTAGCTTCAAAATTTACAGCATGTCGCAAGCATTTGTCACTAATACCCTGAGATGATTGTTTATATTAGCAACATTAGTGCTTTCTAGCAGAGACTCAGAACCAACTAAATTCCTCATCAGAAAAAACTCGACTGAAACATATGACATTGACATAGTACAAAGTAACAAACTAACCCTTCTGCAATATGATATCAAACTGGAAGAATTTATGTTAACAAGTACACTTAAAAGTGCATTAACAAGGTAACATGACCACATTGAGACTAGCTCACGAGAAATCAGCAAAATAATTGCTGCAGTAGGATTACAAAAGTTTGCTTGAACTCTGTGCTTAAGCCCATACAACGTGAGGCTCAACGTAGTAAATTTCCAATAAGACAATAAACGAATTTCTTGCAAACTCTAGGCATGTAAATAGCATCTTCAGTCTTCAAATAAAAGAAATTGGAAAGATCCACTAAGACGCTGAATACTATGAAATATAAAGACAGATATTGCAGGTGGCTGAAGCCATATCTATGTACATTTCCTAATTTCCTAACACAACAATTTGGTTACACTTAATACTTGGAAAACGTGATGATGCTTTGAGCACTATGGTGAAGAGACTCACAAACCAAATCTTTTTCCTCCAAGCATTACAAACTAATCATAATTTTTTTATGGTATCATCAAAATAGACCCATATTTATCTCTGCATCAGTAGCATCACAGTAGGGCTTTCTATTTGTAAAGCTCGCCAAATATTTATGACTTCTTGAATTCAGAGTAGACAATTGTGCATATAGAGAATGAAGAACGTAAAAAGATCAAGACGGGAGAAAACACTCATACCATATTGCACATATGCACATCCGACATTGTCACCGCCATAAACAACAAAAACACAACCCTAGCAAAAGCTGACTGGATGATACATCCATTGTACCTGAAAAATCCCCAACCTGTAGCCATTAGGACAATGAAGACAGTTTAAAATAGAAAGCAAGTTATTATGAATCATATAAACCCAAATAAAACTTTTTAACCAAGCCAAAAAAAAAGACAACCTAGGAGCTGAGGAGTGATGGGTTCTTAACTAGAAAGCATAAAACAGCCTTATATGTGTGATCCATCATTTGGTTCCCTCAAAAAGAAGTTCAAATACAACCGACCGCATGCACAATGTTAATTGATCAAAAATAATACACTGAAAGAAGTTTTTCGAATCAAAACACTAACTAAATTTCGGTCTGCGAAATTCTAACTGCAATTCATTCGAAGAAGGAAAAACAAAAAAATTGTCACCCTGTCTACAATCCGAACCACTACTGCTATATAGAACTTGGATTCTATCGATAATTCGATACCCAGAAAAGTAAAAGGAGGGAAGAAGAAACAAAAGCCCCCAGCTGCTGCTCGCAATAAAGATGAAATTGGAAGGTATTTTGATGACACTGAAACTAACTTGGTGGTGGATAAACTTATCAAGAAACTAAGAAACAATCGACTCCAGTGACGCTAACTACTAAGATCAGCCATAGCAAAAAGAATTCCTCTGCTAAATAAATTCAACAAATAAAAAAAAAAAACGAAAAGAAGACAAGACAAAACAATCATCGTGAAGCTCAAAAGAAACAGAAAACAATAACCTTAGGTTGCTGAGGTCTGTTTGTTTCTGAGCGAGTCGACTTGAGGAGGATGAAAATCAGCTGGGCAATGGGGCAATGTGTATGTTTCAAACTTCAAAGTGAGCACAGATATAATAATATCTATTTTAAAATTATAAATTACTCCCTAGTTTGTAAGAATTTAATACACAGGCCCCTTCCAAGATGCCCAAAAACATAATAAAGATACAGTACCGGGTGTCCAAGCAATTATCTCATTTCTTTCACTCGAAACACCCATCACCTAGTGTGCCTTTATTAGAAAATGGTCGTTACTATTTACCGCCCCCTTATTACTAGTCACTGTCTCCCTTGGACGATTTTGCCTTTTTCATTTGTTGTCTCCAGCAATGTCTAGTAGCTCAGAGGTAAAAAAAAAAAAATAAATCGTCCGGCCCAAAAAGTAGCACGCGACCGGCGGTGTCCGACCGACCGGACCGGACGGCTTCAAAGGCGTCCGGCCGGTTCGACCGGACACACAATGGCCGTGCGGTAATGCAGGCCGTACGGACCGGTCTTTGTACTAACAGACCGGCCGTACGGCCCACTTGGTGTCCAGCCACGACGGCCAGTTGAAACCCAGTTCGGCCGGCCCGACCGGCAGGACATGATTTTTTTATTTTTTTTTATTTTTTTATTATTTTTAAATGCTTTAAAATTATTAATATATTGCAGGTGTCTTTACAAGATTTTGGAGGAGATGGTATTGATTACCGTTCCGCTTTCAATACAACTACGTTGTTTATTAGTGATGAGGAGGCTATTAATGATGCAAAAAGTACGGCAATTCTGAATGGTTTCTTTTTTAGTATTTCGAAACACAAAAAACCCGGAAGGCTGAAGATCTTGAAGTGCAACCGAGGCGAACGTTATAGAGGCAAAAACGTAGACATGAATAAAGTTGTTTCTAGACATTGAAAAACGAAAGCGTGCCAGTGCCCTTTTGAGATACAAGTAAAGCGTGTTGCCAGATCGACATACTGGATGATCCACACGAGTCAAGACGAAACGAAGGGATACCATAATCATTCATTTGCTGTGTATCCTGAGGGCCATCGACAGTCGAGCGGCATCAGCCAGTCATCAAAAAATATTATTCGTGATATGACTGTTGCGCATGCGACACCAGCAAATATTTTGGCCGCCGTCCAGGAAAAAAATTCAAACGACCATGCTAATCGGCGACACATATATAACTATAGAGACTGGTTGCGTAAGGAAAGTCTTGAGGGAAGGGACGTTCCTACCCAACTTCTACATTTGGCTAGCAGCAGCAAGTATATAGTTTATACAAATGTCGATCCGATTACAAATGCGCTGACACACATATTCATGGTCCATCCTAATTCAGTGAGTCTATTCCGGACATATTACTGGTTTGTCGGCATAGATTCGACGTACAAAACCAACAGGTATTTTAAATTTACAGATATGTTATTAGTATTAATTTAAATTTGTATTTTGGATTAAATTTTATGTGATTATAATTTTTGTCTTTTGGTCTCATTTTCACAGGTACAAGATGTCGTTGATCGAGATGATTGGCATGACACCGTGCAACAATAACTTTCTAATTGCGTATGCCCTCATGAAGGACGAGAAAGAGACCAGTTATGATTGGGTTCTCGACAAGTTGAGACTTCTCATAGGCTATACGGTAAGGATTTATATGAAGTACACGATTAATTTAATTAGTAATAAAAGTACTTTGTGCAATATGGTAAAAAAAAATTGAGCTTTTTTTGGAGTGTCTCACTAATTTTTGCCGGTGCTCAGGTGCATCTTAATGCTGTTGTCAGTGACAGAGAGTTGGGCTTAATGACTCCTATTAGGAGGCATTTTTCCCATTCTGCCCACTTACTCTGCACGTGGCACATCAACAAGGATGTGGAAAACAAAGTGTATTACCTGTTTGGGAAAAATAAAAAATTATCTGAGAGGTTCTTGCGCGGTCGGTGGAAGTCGATTATGGATGCCAGTACGTCAGATGAGTACGACACTGCCATAGCTCAATTGAATGCAAAATACGGGAATGGCTTACGAGTGGTACAATATCTCGAGCAGACGTGGCTAGGACACAAGGAGAAGTTTGTGAAAGCCTGGACGAACCAAGTAACACATTTTGGCAACACAACTACCTGTAGGGTGGAAAGTGCCCACTCTGTGTTGAAGAAGTGGCTTGACACGTCGACCGGCGCGCTCGATACAGTGTGGCATAAGATTGATAAGGAGATCGGGTCTCAATTGACTGAAATCAGGTACATTCCTCAAAAACGAAATGTGTCATTTATTACTTATGAAATAATTATAATAAATAAAAAAAGCCACCGAAATGTATTATATATAAGTATATTATATTATATTATAAAATGTTATATTATATTATATAAGTATTTTATATTATATAAGTATTTTATATTATATAAGTATAGTATATTATATTATAATTTGTTATATTATATTATATAAGTATATTATATTATATTAAAATTTGTTATATTATATTATATAAGTATATTATATTATAATTTGTTATATTATATTATATAAGTATATTATATTATATAAGTATAGTATATTATATTA